AGATGTGTATAAGAGACAAACAATTCACTGCCTCACTTGACCAGTACTTGTTAAACTATTATTAAAAATTGATTTTGTTGGTAAACTGTGAGTTACTAAATCAGTTGTGATTTTGACTCTTCATATTTTTTAGATTTTTCTGATTTTTGGGTTGCAATATATATTTATCTTTCACATATCTCTTCAACTTTAGATACAAGAAAAAGTTATACCCAAATTTGAAATTATACAATGTGGTGTGTATGCTAGAAGAATCCATAGCTACAAGTTTCAAGAAGAAAAATATGGCATTGTATGTTCGTGCCAAGCTGATAGTTAAGACCATTAAAAACTTCATGGCTTCGGATGATGATTGCTTGATGTTACATCATGTACCAGAGAAGGAAAAAGAAGAAGGCATCAGAGGGGCATCAAAACGGATAAACCCGGAACGGAGAAAGGTTCTGATTTTGTTTTGGTTGGCTTGGATGCTTAATAAAATGTGAGGTCTCACCACGAAATGAGACGCATCGTTGGTGAAATCATATTGAGATATTCACCAAAACAGGCCAAAATCAACATTTTTACAAAATTTTGATTTTAATGTTTTTGAATAACTTTTATTATCGTATACTTTGTAAGTGAATTTTCTTGCCAAAACAGTGTTCTCTTCTCTGCACATATTCTGTAATTCTAGTCATATTATTTGTACAGGTAAGTTTATCTTTGAGGCCGATTTTCTCAAAACATGGTTCTTATACACCTAAACTTTACATGCTCACATCTCTGGATTTACTTATAGTAGGGAAGCCATTCAAAGACCAAATGAAAGCTTATAATGTGATCTACCCAAATATAATATAAACTCAATTTTTGAATTTCTGACCATGAGACTCATTTTGTGGCGAGACCTCACAAATTACATCTTAACGTTTTTTTGCATTTTTGAAATTTGATATTTGTTAATTACATTGGTTTAATTCATTTACTTCTTGCAATGACAAAATAAAAATATAGAACTTATTGATGGAAGCAAAAACACTTTGGGAGAGAATGCGAAATCCATCTGATAATGAGGCCTTTGTGACACATGATGGTAGGTATTGAAATCTGAAGGTTTTTTTTAAAGAGTGGAGCAATAATTTTCCACCCACTAAAACATTAATTGCTAACAACATACACCAACCAAATCAAATCAAATCTTTATTCCATTTGTTCAAATAACACACATACTGTATTGTGAAAATGTTGCCATACAGATTATATGCACGTTAAGATGAGATTGCCATTTTTACAGCGTACTTGAAGTTGTTTCAACTAACAGAGCCCAAATTACCGTCTGTTGACTGTATCCTAATTGATGAGGCACAGGATCTTACACCAGGTATGATATAATCCCCAGATCCTGTGTTCAAATCCTGGAGGCACCAGTAATTTGTTAATTATTTTTAAAAACGCCACCCTAAGCTTCTACAAGACACTTTTTAGTTTATAAGAAATTAAGTTTTAATAGCAGTATTTAAGAAGTCCCTATAATTTTATAAGTTGAACTGAACTTTTGGGCGTAGTTGAACCATGAAGTTATAATTATTTTGATTGAACATACTTAAATAAAATTGTCTCAAGTAGGCAATATACAAAGGGTATTGCATAGGCTTGCTGCTTAACTCAATTCTAAATTTGTAGCAAACACTCTGCATTCACTGAACCATGAAGACACAGAATGACCCATGTGCATGTTGATAAAAGCCAGTACACTCCTCAGAAAGAGTAGTGGATTATCAACTAATGTCCTGCTCAATGAACAACCAGAAGGACACCACAGGAAAAAAGTCTTTAGACTTTAGTTCACCATCACCAAAGAAATCTAATCTATTCCAAATAAATAAACTTGATTTTGGAGCACATAAATCCATCTTAGCATAGATATCAGATGTTTCTTTCTATTGACATGCAATATGAAAATCAACTTGTAATTTTTAGCTCAACAAGATATCTTAATGCGTCAAGATTGTGCCAAGATCATGGTTGGCGATCCCCATCAACAAATATACAGTTTCCGAGGAGCAACAAATGCATTACAGAACATACCAGCAGCAAAAACATTTCATCTTACACAGGTAGAATTTCATTATTACAGTATATATTTTTTATTAACATCTTCTGCAAATTACCTCGCATCTTTGTACTTTTACATTGGGATTGGGGGTGGGGGATTAAAGTGCCAAGCTGTCTGACGGGGGTACCTAACATTCTACGAGTCCATGGTCTGAGTCTGGTTGGGGGAAATTTTGTGTCTTTTGTTTTAGTATTTTGAGATGTTTCTGTACAAAGAATTTCAAAAAAATGAATACATTTGTTTTTTTCTTATTGGTCCGCCTAGCCACTTGCAATAATAATCATGCATTGAAATGTTTCTTTAAATACTACCAGACATGACATAAATATATGAATCTGAACAATAAACTAGTTTGGAATGCAGTGAATATTTTACTGCAAATTTTTTTTTTTTTTTTTTTTCCTATTGCTCATATTTTTCAAAAAAATGTTTGTAGTCATTTAGATTTGGGCCTGAGATTGCATATGTGGCCACCTGTGTTCTGCATGCCTTAAAAAATGTCAAGAAGTATGTTATCGGAGTTGAGGCTCTTGGTAAGTTTAAGTATCCAAAACTTTTTTAGCAATTTAGATATGAAAATTCAAACAAGATGAGGTTGTGAAGGAAATTCAGCAGAATACTGTAGCAGCCGTAATGAGGAGCTTAATAGCTTATGTTCACATGATTTCATAATGCAGTATTTGAATTAGATACAAGCTGATATTATGTGATTGGAGGTTAACAGCTTGTAAATCATGAATATTCAAAACTATAGCAGTACAATATAAATTTAAATATAGTAAGCACTTGAATTGTACTACAAATGGAGCTGGCATGCACGGTAAGCTCTACTTATATAAATGTTTAGAAATATATATGAAGTATACTGTAAACTATACTAAAATCTAAATATTTAAAAAGCAAAAGCATCACACCTATGGTATTTTCCTGATACAAACACATTGAAATATGATTCAAATTACTGTATTGCATTATTGTAAAAATATCTAAGTGAATTTTATTACATATAAGTTAAGTTGTTTTAAAATTTGAACAGTAACTATTAAAAAATATTATATTTACCATGAAGGATCTGTCCTAGGAGAAGAAGTTGGACAGATTGCTGTTATCTGCCGAACTAATTTATCGTTATTTAACGAAGCTGCAAAACTCTGTGAACAGAATGAGAGAGTGAAGATTGGATTGGTTGGGGTGAGTAAAATCGCTATCCGTTATCATCACAGTTTTCTGATGAAGTCCACAGTGTAGACATAGGCTAGAGCTAATAAATGTTATAATTTGTCTTTAAAGTGCTGAGATTTGTCATATCTTATGTTTCTCTATAACAGACCAATGCAGCTACACCTTCTATTTATCATGATGCTATCAAATTGTGTGTAACAAATAACCGCCCATATGTGTGCATGATATCATCATGGCACCCATTATGGAGATGATATTACATCATTGTTAATTAACAGTTTTTATGTACTATCTTTATTAATTTAAACAAATTTATAATCTGTTGTTTATATGTTTGACCAATAATATTATTTTATGATATTGTATTTTATTTATTCCTATTTAATCTCATATCTTATCTTATTTAATCATTATGTTAGGGTGTCCACAGCTATCGGTTTGATCAGATCATGGATATCTACAGACTTTTCTCTCTCTCAGATTCTGAAAGAAAAAAACGTAAGACAAATACGGAAAGTTACTGTAAACAACATAATTTTTTTGTTGGTCTTTTTAAGGTTTTATATTTCATAGTGAACTTAAAGGATCTTAAAAATTATGTGGTTTACACTAATTTAACATTACTTTTTGATATTATTTCAAAAACTTGTTAACAGGATACAGGATGTGAATCAAAATATATATTTACCATATTTATTAGGATAAACTTCCCTCTGTGATGGCTCCCCTCGAAAAAAATCTCCCTCCAGAGCTGCATTTTGAATAAACACCCCCTAAATGACTGTAAACAAAACTAATGGAAGCAACATCATTCTCAACACATTGTATTCCAATAGAATTACATTGTTTCTAGCCTGGTTTGAATCAGTAAGTCTCATAATTACGTAATAACACATTTTTACTGTAATTATGAGTTGTAGTTTCACATTGACAGTAAAATTAAGTGACGTTTATTTGGGTATTGAAGTATTTATTTTATTATACTAAAATAAATAAGCGCATGCCTTGAATGTATGCTCCTCAAAAACAATAAATGCCCTGGGGCGTTCATTCAAATTAATATGTTTAATTGTGAACGGTAAAATATTCTGTAATTTTAATTTCTTTTCATAGCTGAGTATCAAATAAAGGATAAGTTTATCCGATGCTTTCCAAGTATATCGCAACTGCAACGCTATGCTGATGATGTTGATGACTTAGATTTGCTGGGAATGATACAAATTGTGAAAACTCATCACATCAAAATACCTGAACATATAGAAAGAATAAAATCAAGAGCTGTCGATGACATCACACAAGCTGGTTAGTGTTCACAAATACAGTGCACCCTCAAATTCAAGCCCCCTTGAATTCAAGACCACTTTTTCAAAGAACCAAATTACAATCGTCAATCTTTTTCAATAATTTTGCACAAGTTTAAGCTAGTTTTTGAGATATCCATGCAATTAAAATACTTACCAGCATTTTAAGTAAACAAAACCTCTGACATATTGCAAATGCTAAGACACAAGCTCAGCAAGAAGTAGGCTTATAAAGTAGAGGTTATAGGTGGCATGACCGTCATTTCTTGGATTTAACTTTCCAGAAAAATTCAGTCCTGCATCTTTTTAACCAATCAAAATCTTGTACAGTGAACTTTTCAAATTCCAGAGCACTTTTTCAAAAAACCAAATAGTCATTAATCTTAACACTCTAATTGGAGACCGAACCCCGAGACCACTCCAAATTTTCAGGTCCCATAGTGGTCTCTAATAGAGGGATTTAGCGATGGGCACATGACCAAATTTGGATGTTGGATGTAAACAATCCACTGACAACAGCGCTGTTTTACATGGAGATTGCTATCGCAGCTGTCCATTGTTTATTGCATAGAATTTAGCCTTAATGGTTTGCTAATTCTGTAAAGGATACTGGCCGCAAACATTGAGATTTTTTGACAAATGTTAGGCCTAGGCCAGCACATTTACGGCATGCTTAGGTAACCATGCTGGTTTTCGACCCGCGAACTGCACTGCGATGTTAGGACCAGCTAAGGTTTTTGAAAGATCACTTTCAATATGCACACAATCCAAGGAGAACGCTAGGATAAATAAATAAAAACTCTTTTGAACAATCGTATTGCCTTTCCTAGCCATGAACTTACGTTAACAGTGGGTGGTTTTTTTTTGCAACCATAACATCTTTTCATATGCTATCGCACTGTTATGTTTTTCATGTATACCCAAGTTGGGTCACGTGACCGCCTGTAAACTATCACCGCTAAATCCCTCTATTGGTGGGTAAACTGTATTAGGTTGAAGTCATTTCGTATCCATAGGCAATGCGCAATGGACAATATGGGTGGGGGAAAAAAATGCACAGTGTAACAAAATTTAAATGATGAGCGATGAAATGGGTAAAGTAACTAATGTCATGTGGTATGAAATCAATCAATCAAATAACTGGGATTTATGATTATTACTAAATGCTGCTGCTCAAAAGCCTTATAGCATGGACTATCAAAACAGCTATTTTGTCTTGGATACACATTTAGTAACACATTCATAAAGTATTAAGCTGAGCACTGACTGCCACTGACAATAAGCAGACAGCATTCGTTCTCACAGGGAGTGGAGTTGGCTTCACTGTACGACTGTTGTTCACAGTGAGTGCAAGGCTTTTGTATTAAAACAGGCTGTTTAGTTGGTCTGTTTACATTTACTATGATTTGTATGTCTGTTTGTATGTATTTATACATGCATCCAAATGAATTCATTTACAATGCTTGTCTCCTCAGAAGTGGTATTCACAACCGCGCATAAGGCGAAGGGATTGGAATTTGATACTGTTAAAGTGACGTGTGACTTTTTGACTGAAACCAAAAATGACAATTTACCTGGTTTTGGCGGTTAGTTTTTAACTGTTTTTATGTTCTTTTGAAGCCTTCTCAGCTGGATTTAATACAAGCTTAAAGCAACAATGGCTATTTTCATCTTTATAGTTACTTATATTCACCCCATTTTGGTGGTACTCTTATATTACCTTCTAAAAACTTTTGAATATCTTACAGATATATATTCTAATGAAGTTAATTTGATTACACTGATTTAACATTTTATTGTTGGCATTCTATATTTTTTTCTAGGCATTCCGGCCCGCTTGCAGATGAATGCGAATCAACCAGTGGATGAGTTCAATCTTCTTTATGTTGCTTTGACAAGAGCAAAGAAGCGATTGAAGCTAACTAGCCCTATTCTCAAGATGCTTGCCAGATTAAATGTAAAGTTCTATTTCATTATTGTTATTAAAATGTTGATACTTTTATAAAGCTTCATAAAATTTGAAAAGTGACTGGAGGTGCTTGTTAGACAGCCTAGAATGGCCCAGGGAGGGACATTTGTAGGAGGAGGGTCCAGACCAGTAGTGGTGTCAGCGGTTGGAATTTTACCCCATCGGTGTGGACCCCTAACTTCACAAGTCAGAATAAAAAATATTAATTTGCCTATCCAAAATGTTATTTTCATTGCCAATTCTTAATAATGTGGTCTAAAAAGCACAACTTTGGGCCATAAAAATTTAAAAATGGTCATTCTTAATTTAGCTTTTGGCACTAGGGCCAATGGTATGCCAAACAGTGAACTTATCACTTTTCAAAGTGGCAGTCCCATCACAAGACAAACATACATACAAGATGCTGTACCTGTCTCTTATACACATCTAGATGTGTATAAGAGACAGCCCTAAATGACTGTAAACAAAACTAATGGAA